AGTGAGACAAAGCAGAGTGTGTCCAGACATCCTCAGCTTGCTTGGCACGTGCTCATCCCCACCCCTCCCCAACATTTCTGGGACTGGGGTCAGCAGGATCAGCATCCTGCTTTCCCATGCAGCTACTCCAGGCCCCTAGTGGGTTTTCTCTCTGCTTGCAAGCAGGTGTGGCGGGGGTAGGAACCACATCCTCCCCAACACCCCCGAGGACCTCCGTCTCCTTGCAGCTGCCTGCACTCTGGCTGACAGCCACACAATTAGCCCCAGAAGGGCCTTTCTCTTCTCAAGGGCTCCCATCACAGAGCCCAGATGCCTTTATTTTGGGAGCCTTGCTTTGTAAAGCACTTCATCAATGCCAGCTCCAAGCAACACCCCCACCCCCACCACACACACACCATACACTGCCACCCCGCCTGTCCTTCCATTCATTAATCTGGTGCAGTGCATTCTAGGCACTGGAAGACCCATGAGGTCTCTGCCACAGTTTCCCTTGCAGTGGGAGAGACAGACGATAAACAAGCAGATGGATATAATAAACAAGATCACTCTGGATGGTGCTCAGGACCATGGAGAGGATACGGGAAAGGCACCAGGGAGAGACAGGCAACCCTCAGGTCCAGAGCAGTGGGGAAATTCATGGGCCTACTCCCTGCAAAGGGAAGGGATCCAAAGGTAGACTCTTGAGAGGGAGTTTTGGGATGTGGCTGCACCTAAAGGTCCTGGCTGCTCTTGACCACTAGTAGCTATTTCTTTTTTTCTTAATTAAGTTTATTGGTAGGCTTTAGATATACATAATGATCATATTCATCACAGGGAATTTGTACCTGTACATGACATATTCTGACTCCTCTTCTTTTCCCAATCTCCCCTTCCCCTCCCTTGTTTCCATTTTTTTTTTTTTTTTTTTTTTTTTTTTTTTTTTTTTTTTTTCTCCGGTACCGGGAACCGAACTCACAACCTTGCGCTTGCGAGGCAGGCGCTTTGGCCGCTGAGCTAAATCCCCAGCCCGCTTGTTTCCATTTTATCGTTTCTTTTAATCATGTTCTTTTTCCTTTCCCCTCCTTCCTTTCCCCTACCGTAGTTCCCCTTTCCTTCTGAACAATTTCTTCCCATTTCACTATATCTATTGCAGATTTTGGTCCTTATTCACAGGGAGACACTGTGATGTTTGCACATGTGAGTCTCACTGATTTCACTTAAGAGTTAGTCTCACCGGGCGTGATGGCGCACGCCTGTAATCCCAGCACTCCGGAGGCTGAGGCAGGAGGATCATTGGGAGTTCAAGACCAGCCTGGGCTACAAAGTGAGATCAAGGCCAGCCTGAACTGCACAGCGAGACCCTGTCTCAAAAAGACCAAAAAAAAAAAAAGAGTCTCAAGTTGAGTCCATTTACCTAGAAAGGTCTCCTTTCCTTCCTTGCTGCTCCTCACCACTGTCCTGCTGCTCCTGCCCCCAGTGGCACGGATGGGATCTACCAAAACTCTTCCTTGGTTCTCCTGGCCCGCCCAACGGGGTTCCTTCCTTTGAATTCTCAGATAGATTCTAAGCAAAATGAGTCTTTTTCAGCCCCAAAGACACCAGAGGAAGGTCAATTGAACCCCAGAAAAGTCCAGCCGGGCCTCTCAGATCATCACACTCAAGACTGACTTGTTCTCCACCTCTTCCTCTTGGGCCTCCCCCTTTCCTCAGTCCTCCATCCCGGCTGTCTCTGCTGCCTTTCCCCTTGTCCATACCCCTGTCGCTCTCACTCACATTCTGAATTTACTTCTTATCTGGACATTCATTTCCTTCAAATAAATACCTTCTGTAAAAATGCATCGAGCCCCCACTGAGTGTCAGGATGGGGTTAGGAGTTAGATCTAATCACAGATGAGTAAGGCATGGACCTCTCTGAAAGGGAGATGAGTCATGTACCAAAATGAGTGAAATGGGGAGGGTGAAAGTGACCCACGACATAACAGAGACGCGGACAGGGCTGCAGAGCATCACCAAAGGGGGCTCCTGGAACTTCCTGGAGGAGTTGGGACTTCTCGTCAGATCTTAGAACATGGTCATACACAAAATACGGGCTGACTCCGGGAAGAAGGGTCCTCTCCAGTGGACAAGTTGCCCATCATTCATCTGGTACATAGGGAATGGTGATGTTATCTTTCTCCCACTTGTACACTTCTCTGATACCCTCTCACTTCCTTACAAATCTCATCACCTTCTCCTTTTTTCTCTCTTGCACTCACCCATTCCCTTCACAGACAGGAAGACAGTACTTCTGAGCTGTGTCTTCATTGTCCTTTCCCTCTTGTCTTCTCCTCAAAATCTAACTCCTTCGCTCCAGAATCCTTCCTGTTTAGCTCCCTCAGTACTCTTGAGTAAAGCCTGGATTTTGTTGTCTGGCAGACCTGGGTCTGAGTCTGCTGACTCAACTCACTCAGCCTTCATTTCATCATCTGTAAACAGCCTCTAAGGGACATTGTGAAAATCAAATAAGACAAAGGATGTGAAAATGCTTCCTACTGTTAATGAGACTCTTTACTGTTAATGAGAGCTCTTTTAACTGCAAGTGACAAAAGCCCAGCACAAAATGGCTTAAGTGGAAAGGGGAAAATCTGGCATTTCTGACCTCAATCAAACTCACCTGCATCCAGGGGTTCAAATGATGATTTCACAACTCTGCCTTTCTATGTCTCCCAGTTCTGGGGTCTATGCTGGCCTCTTTCTTTGGCAAACTCTCCTCTCCAGAACAGCAACACAGACACCTTCTTTCTACCAGCCAAGCATCTTCAGTGGAAATAAGCTTCCCTTACCCCCAGGGTGCCAGCAAAGTTCTGGGGTTGAATATCAATGGATTAATTCCTAAGCACACCCACATCCAGGCTGGGCTCACATGCCCTTGCTTGGAGCTGCTGCTGACATGATCTTCCCACCCAACCCTGTAAGGCTGTAGGAGAGAAGTGGGAAGTCTCCCAAAGAGAAGTGGGAAGTCTCCCCTTGTCACAAGGAGGAAGGGGACTGGTTGCTGGGAGCTAATGCCCTCAAGGAATAAAGACCGACAACACAAAGGGAAAGGGGCAGATTCACTCCTTACCTCTCAGCGTTCTGCCTAAGAGGCCATCCTCAAAAACAAATCTGATCCTCCAGGGATGTGTTGGGTGCCTCAGCCTTGCTCTCCCAGCACCTAATTCCTCCCTATGCTGATCACATTTATTACAATTTGTATTCACTTTTGTATTTCCCTCATAAGACTTAAGTAATGGGAGAATAAACCTAGTATCTGTGTTGCTGTCGCTGTACCACAATGTTGGTGAATGCTAGATGCTTGGTAAATGGTGGGTGGATGAATGAATTAACAGTTAAATGGGTGGATAATAGATACATGGATGAATGGATGGATGAGAGGATAAATGATGGATAGGTGAATAAATGAATGAATTAAATGAATGAATAAATGGGTGGCTGAGTGTGCGGGTGATGGATGAATCATTGGCGGAGCAGATGGGTGGATGGAGAGAGGCAAGAATGGATAGATAGCCTAGGTAGACAGGGATGGATGGCTTGGCAGGAAACTGATAAGATCTGTTTGGAATGTGCTAAGCCTAAAGTGCCAGTCCTTCACACTGTTGTTGACAGGTGGACCTGCATCTCAGGAGAGAGGAATGGGCTGCAAACAGGGGTCTGGGAGACATTACCACGGAGACTATGCTAGAAGCCATGGGAGTGAATCAAGATCACAGTACAGGAGGCAAAGGGGTGCCCCCAAAGCCACATAGCACAGAAGGAACACTTCAGTTCAGTGCTGTGTGATGTCAAAGCCTGCTCTCTCCTCGGTCCAAGCAGCCTGGCCACTACTGGAGGCGGCAGCACAGAGTTAACGTCTCTCTCTTCTCCCCTCCCTCCCCTCCTCAAACCACTCAGCCCGAAAGGGAGCAGCTGCCTAGGAGGACAGAGAGACAGATTATGTAAACTGTGATTGCCACCCACAGGAGGAGGAGAGTGAATAGGTATTGAAATGCGCTTTCAATAATGCATGTCCTCCTCCGCACAGGCCTGGGGCTGGGTGGTGGGAAGAGGAGCCTTAAAGGGACCCATCCTCCTGTCCTTAGCGGTAGCACCCATAGGCCTGTGGCAACCCACAGGTCATCTGGCCACAATGAGAGTGCTCTGTGGACATCCACCCCAGGGATCAACAGCCTCTCATCTGCAAGGACACTTTCTTTTCCCCACCCTGACCTCAGTGGATTTGACTTTTTAAAGATTCTGTTTCCCAAACACACTGCATTTAAATCATGATTAATTCATTGCCTCCATTTTTTATTAATCAAAGACACTTAACCGCCAGTCAGAGCTTTGATCTGTAAGAGGTAAGCCACAAGGTGATATCACTCTAACCCAAGCTAAGAAATATGACAATATTGTTAGTCAGCCCTACCTTGCCGCCAGAAAAGGCCCTCTCTCCCTCTTCCACATCTATTACTATTTTCAGAAAAGCTCCAGAAATAGAGTTTCTGGGGAAGAGGGATACTGTCCAACACTCTCATTTTGCAAAGGGCCAAACAGACCCAGAAAGGTGAATGGACTTGCCTGAGGTCATAGGATCCAGGGATCTGGGGGCAGAGGCCTGGCTTCTCTAGGTTTAACCGATTTAGAACTTGGCAATGAGATTAGCCAGCCATGTGATCTGACAGTCAAGAGCAGGGTAAGGGATCATAGCCAGCACCTTCTTTGTGTCCCCAATTTGTGCCAGACCCACCAGCTAGTCTCCAGCTTTGTTCTCATACAATAGCCCCAAGAAGTGAGATTGTCACGCCTGTTGGGTATTGGAGGAAATTGAGCATCAAAGAAGTGCCATGATTTACATAATCCACACAGCTGGGAAGGAAGGATCACCATTGCCCGACTGCCTGTAACTTCAGCCAACTGGCTGCAAATATTCCTTCCTCCTCACTGGCCTGGCTGGGATGGAGGTAAAGAGGTCATTCGGATTAGCTGTGAAGTTCTACTTACCACTTAAAAGCTGTCTGACTTTGGCTAATCATCTCACCTCTCTGAGCCTCCGTTCTTTCATCTGGCAAACAGAAAGAGCATCTGGTTCCTTGAGGGATCCAGGGATCATGGAAAATAAGAGAAGAGAATGGGGTTAAAGCCTCCAGCACAAAGCCATTTAGAAATGGCTTTCCCTGTCTCCATTCTTAGCTTTCATTGAGAAAACTCCTCCAAGCTGGCAGAAACCAGGGTATGAGATCTAATGGCTTATGTCTTTGGGAATATCCTGGGATGTAGATCAGAAAAACATTGCTATTGTAAATTTAATGGGCAGTTTTCCTCTGGTCCCACAATAGACCAAGATAATATGAGGGTTGAGGGTGGGGCAAGGATCTCTCCCTCCGGCTTGATTGTTCTCAGATCCTGGCCATAGCCATCTGCTTCCATGTCTGGTTCTGGTCATTTGTTGGAGATGGCCTGAAAAATCCTATCACATTCTTGGAAATCTGATTTATTTTCCAAAGTCAGCCTGATGAAGCTGGAGTGGAAATTTCAGCTCCCAGCAGCTAGAGAGGGTGATCCTGCTGGACGCACCACAGTTGCTCTTCGCTGACAAGGTGAAAGTTGAATAATTGAATCTCTGTTTTCCCCTGGAAATGGTTTTACATAAATATGTGGCAAAAAGTTCTTGGTGACTGGGCTAGAGCATTAAGCAATTCCTTGGACAGAAATTCAATGTACCATTGTCCCCCCCTTATCTAGGGGATACATTCCAAGACTCCAGTGGATTCTTGAAAACCCAGATAGATACCTTATGTTTTCTCCTACACATGCAGACCTGATAGTCTGATTTCTAAATTAAGCAGAGTAAGAGATTAACAATCATAACTAATAAAACAGAACAATTATAACAATATACTGTAATAAGTTATGTGGATATGCTTATTTTCTCTCTCTCTCTTTCAAAATATCTTATTGGCTGTTCTTGCCCTCCTTCTTGTGAAATGATACAATGCCTGTGTGATGAGACAGTGAGATGAATGAGGCATTGTGACATAGCTTCAGGCTACTACGTGCAGGTTACATGAACATAAGCACAGCAGTATCAAAACAGCCTAATAATGCAGATGGCTACTAAGTAACTACGAGGTTGGTAGCATATGTAAGATGGATACTCTGGATAAAGTAATGATTCAATTATGGTGGAAGACGGAGTAGGATGGGGTGAGATTTCATCACACTACTTAGACTGGCACACAATTTACAACTTAAGAATTATCCTTAAATTTATGTTTATTTCCAGAGTTTTAACTTTAATATTTCTGGGCCATGATTGACCTGGGCAACTGAAACCACAGAAAGCAAAACGTTGGATCAGGAGGATCATTCTTCTATAACAGGCTTGTGAGGCATCCTGTGTGAATGTGTGCTGGGCAATGAAGAATCAGGGATGAGTGGGACCTGGTCCTCGCCTGAAAGAGCAATCAGCCTATGGGGGGAGAGATGGGTGTGGAGACAGACTAGAACCAGCGGGAGAGTCATAAGCTGTGATAGAGGAATGGGTAGGATCAACCACACTGATTGACCAAGCCCTGGTCATGTACCCTCTGCTGAGCCCCACGCTGGAGCCTTGGCACCCACATGGCTAAAGCACATGGAAGAGACTAGAGAGGAGCAGCTCCCCCAAAGGAAATGAGCGCACCCTTACTAACAGAAAGAGAGCTATGAGTGCAAAACACCAGCTACACTGCACACCGCACTAGGGCTGTCACCAGCATGACCAACTACCTTTCAGTAGCTGGCACCATGTTCTGGTTTTATATGCAGGCCACCTCACTGTACCTGTAAGGTCCAAGAGATGAATGAGTAGAGAGAAGCATTTGACCTTTTGCACACTGAAAATAACAACCAGATGGAATTACCTATTTATGAACTCATTCACTCCTGCTCCTGCAAGCTCTGGTCGGTGCTGGCTGTCATGGGTGAGAGAAAGACCCCGACTGTGCCCCCAAGGACTTCACAGAGAGTAGTCTATTTTAGGTATAAATCTCTGATAATTCAGAGAGTGACACTTACTCTCTAAAAAGCACATTTCACATATTTTTTTCCTGGCACCTGGGTACATTTATTTGCTTATAGATTAACTGCTTCCCATGAAAAGCATGAATTGAAAATGCTTTTAAAATTCCCCTTTTACTTCTGAGCCAATTTTGTTTTCACTAATAAAAACACCTAATTGTTATTACATTTACTGAACATCCTCACAGAGGCAGGCTTGGGAGTCGCGTGATTTTTTTTTCTCAGAAATCTGGTCCTGAGTCCTGAGAAGGTGTCCTGATCCCTTCACTGACTGAGAAAGTAAGGGCCCAGAAGCTGTTGTAGTAGAACTGGGAACTGCAAAATTACAGCCTGGACAAAGAAGATGGGGTAGACACAACCTCTCCTGTCACGGATCTGTATGTAGCAGCAGTGGGTGTTGATCCTGTGGATAGCAGCTGCAGTGGTTGGGAATAGATTTTTAGCTCCATATGAAAGAGAAATATCCAGGGACCAGAGCTGTTACACTGATATACTGAGGCTCAGTGGTGTCATGCTTACTAAGCATGCACAAGGCCCTGGACTTAAGCTCCAGCACCACAAAATATAATTAAAATAAAACCAGTCTCATGTCTTTAAGAAAAAAAGAGATACAGACTGCTATAGAAGGTGGTGAGCTCCTCATTCCTGAAGGTAGATAAACAGGGACTCTTGGGTGGGAATTTGGACCAAAGGACCTTGGCCTTTCCTACCCGGGAAATTCCTGGGCCATGGGCTGTTACTGATTTCCTGTGTGGCTTTGGACGAAGTTCTGCCCTTCTCTGATCCTCAGTGACCTAGATGACCCCTGTATCTTCTTCCTCTTCTAAATGCTTAGCCTTGTCTCAGGCGCTCACACCTGCCTCTGCACATTTAGGCAATTTCTGCTCTGCACATGTCACAAAGTACCCATTGCCTGAGAAAACCAACTCCCCAAACCCGCAGGTGTGAGGCAGCTTCTGTCTGCTCCTTCTGTTCTCAGAGACACTATGATTCATAGCCACGTGCGATGCCTCCCCCACCTGAAACCAGCCACCAGGGTGGGATGCAGCGACCCTGCACACAGTGGGCACCCCGTGCACCCCATCTCCTGGCCCTGTGATTGGCCTTAACCCACAGGTGATCCTGAGAAATGGCCTCTAGCCCCAGGTCAGGAAAGTACAGCAAGGAGGCAGGCGCAGATCCATATGATCTGTGCATTTCCCACAGGTCTCTCCAAGCCGCCATAGGGCTTCTCCCATATGACTTTTAGCGCAGCCCCAAAAAGAAGGCCTTACCTTCCCCACATGGAGGGGTGGGAAAACTGAGGCTCAGAGAGGCTGCAAACACCTGCCACCAACTGGAAAATGAGGGTACTGGAACAGCTTGCCTCTGGGATGCACAGAAGCTCACCTTTGGGAAGCAGCACCAACCTCACCTACGAGAGACCCTCACCAGGACAGTGGATCAGAGCCAGACCCAACCTCCAAACCCCGCTGCCATGCTTTGCAAATGATGAGGCGGGCTAAGCTGGGCTTTTAGCTCCATCTTCCCTCTGAACTCTGCTGGGTCTTTTGAAAGTCATTTGCTCTCCCCAGGCCTCATTTCCCTACTTGTAAAGTGAAGGCCGTGGTTCCTCCGTGTCTACCGCTGGTCTGCCTCTATTTGATCCTGCAACATAGACAACAGGGAGACACTGGACACACCAAGAAACTGAGAGATGGCATCTTGCACCCAAGACCACAAAGTGAATAGGGCAAAAAACCAAGGCTGAGGTCCAGAGCCTCACCCTGCTGAGATTGCACACCCAGGACTCTTCAGACTTAGACTGCGGTCACAGGGAGCAGGTGATGTGTTTATCAGCCCCAGGGCCACTGGCTGCCAGCTCCTCCTTCCTAGGGCCTCACTGAAGCCCAATCTCTGCACCACCAAAGCTGCCAGGCCTTCTGCTATTGATGGGAGCCAGTGCCAAGTCACTGCCTATTGGTCCCTCTTAGTCACCCACAGGGCCCACATCCCTCAAAGCTCTCTCGGGTTCTGAGAACAGAAATAGGTGGTGTCTGGTTGTCCAGAACAGAGGCAGTATGAGCTAGAAGGGCAAATAAGGGGAAGTGGGCAGAGCAGCTGGGGAGAAGGGCAAGAAAGGAGAGAGCCGGTGCTATTGTCCAGCTCTGGAGATGGCCATGGGAACCATGCTGTGCTCCACCCCGGGCATGAAGGGGAGGGGCAAGGCAAAGCCAAACAAGAGAGAGGTGGTCAGACCTAGCTTCCTTTGATTAATTTTCTCAACTCATAAGGAAGGCACAGATGAGTAGCCCCGTTTTTCAGTTCAGAACACTGATGCTCAGAGACACGAAGCAATTTGTCCCAGGTCACACAGCCAGGGAGCAGCAGAGCCTAGGTATAAACCACCATGTCCTGCTGTCCTGCTGGAAGTGTGCAATATCCCTAGTTAGGGGACCTGAGCAAGCCAGCCTTCCTCTCGGAGGGGAGGTTAGTGGTAGAGCAGCCCCATCTCCAGCCATTCTGCTGCTCCCAGCCTCTTTTCCTTTGCTACAGACCTCAGGGCACTGACAGGGACTCTGGTGGTCTCCCAAGGGGACCCTTGCATGTAGCTCCACGGGCAGGAAAAGGATAAGTCAAACCCAGCCCATGGAGCCCTCATTCCCCAGAGCTTTCCTGGAAACAGCAGGAGGCTATTTTTAAAAAGTAGCATCCGCAGGCAGTAACCTGTGAGATGTGTCCCCAACCTGATCCTCACTCCGCGGGCTGGAACAGCACTCTCCCTGCGCTCAGCTCAGTCAGCAGCTGCAACTCCTCCACCTGTCCAGGTCTGGGAGAGAGGGAAGGGAACCGTCACCTGCCATGGGCAGAGATGTGAGTCTGTTTCCATGAACCTCAACCATGCCAGCTGAAAGGGCCTCGATTACCAAAGGAAATATACATGGGCTTGTGCTTAAATACCTGTGGTGTGTCGTGCACGTACTGTAAAGCCAAGCCTTGTATATCTGTGGTGTGGATGTGCATTTGTGGCAGCCTGAGTGTCTCTATATTCTATGCAAGTATGACATTTAGACATGTGTGTCTTTGTGTCTCTGAAAACCAGTATTTGTCAATGTGCAAATGTGAACCTATATATGGGGACTACGTCTGCATCTGTTTGTGCTTGTGTGTATTTGTGTAGGTGTTTGTATGCCTGAGTGTTTGTGTATGTCTGTCAGTCTTCGAGCAACCCAGGAAATAAACATATAGAATTTTAGAAGTAGGAGGAGCATTTGCTTGCTCCGCAACTCAATCACTTCTTTCCCCACTGCTCAAGTCACAGAAGTGGAACCAAAAGCTCAGAGAGGGAGAAGGTCAGTCAGTAACAAGATGACCAGAACTCAGATGTGCTTCCGGCTCCCAGAGCCACTCAGTGGCCCCATTCTAGTTCCAGTTCCAAGATCAACAGCTGCCCCTTCCCTGTCTCTGTGTATGGTACCAGTGCGGTCCATCACCTCATGGAGCTTTCAAGTGGCTGCTAAGGGGGTTCCAGACATGTGTGTTTCCATTATGGGCTGAGTAGAACATTGACCTATTCCACACACTTTTGCTGTGGGGGAAGAGCATGAACCAAACCTGCCACTGCCTGACCCTGAGCACATGGAGATGCCAAGAGAGGCTGGCCATGGTCCTTTCCCTCAGGGAACCCATAATCTGGCTGGAGGTCAAATCGGTAACATGCAAACTATGACATGGGCTGAAAGCGCCCACTGGAGGCACAGACAGAAACCCAAAGAGGCACAGTGAACAAAGACAGTGAGGAGATGACATCTGGAGTGAGATTTAAGAGACAAATGTGTATGTCTGACATTGAAAGAACATTCCAAGCTAAGGACATAATTTATGCACTTTCAGATGCCTTGTTCTAGAAAGATCTGGCTCCTCTGTCTTCTACCTAAGACTCTTCTTGGTCTGCCCTCCATTACTCGTGTCTGAGCTCCTATTATTCCCACCACCTGCAATTTATTCATTCTTCAGAAAATGTGTCCTGGACACCAAAAGTTTCCTGACCCTGAAAGTAGTACGGAAAATAGCGATGTGATCTCAAGCATCATTTCAGTGTCCAAAGGCGGGAAATGGGAATCATTAATAGTCAGCCACCTGCAGTTTCTCATTTCCTATGTGCCTGGCCCTGTGCTCAGGACAGTGCAGGATGGAGAAGACTACGGACAGGGGAAGGAAGCTCCCTGACCACCTTCCTATGTTGGCAGAAAGTTAATCCCTGATGGCCTCGTTTTTAGAGAAGGAAGTTGAGGTTCTGAGAGGTGAGCTGACTTGTTGAGGTTGTTTACATGCCAAAGAGCCAACTAGATTTGTGGGATTTCGAACTGGTTCTTTCTGCTGAGCTGGGCTGACTACCCCCACAACCAGAAAAATGAGCTTTGGAGAGTGTTGTTTTTGCTATTCGTTTGCCTATCATCATGTCCTTACTGGGACCCCTAAGCTTTCGGTTATGTTCCTTTTGGAAATGGCAGATGGTGGTCAAGCTGGGGGACTCAAAGTTGTAAGGAGGTCATTAGCTCTTGGGCTCAAAGAAAGTAGACTCAAACCTCTGCCCTCCAAGAAGCCAAAGTAGGTCCAACAGGCTTGAAGTCAGAGAGGGGAGGGCAAGTAACTCAGGGGACACGACTGGGCTCCTCAGTCCTCTACACCTTAAAGGAAGGCACCTCTGCCCAGAACACTGCACTGCTCAGACCATAAGAAGGAGGGTGCACTGGGAGGACCCATCTAGCACTCTATACATTTGTACATTAGCTAAGGGAAAGTGATTAATCTGCATTACTTGTCAGCTATAAAGTTTTGGAGGTTTTTTGAAATTCCACTTGTTACTGAATCTTCAAAGTTCAACTTCCAATGAGAAATTGCCACCTTCATTCTGCATACGAGAAGTAGTGGCTGCTAGCCATAGGGAGATGAAGAAAACACAGTCCCTGACCCCAAAGAGCCTGTGGTCAAGATAGATGTACAAATACCCACTGAGGCTGTAGGGCACTCACATCTGGGATGAAAAGAAGCTTGGCAGACGGAGCAGGAGAGCCTCCCTTTCCAACATGGAGAATCTGGGAAGGCTTCTTGGAGGAGACATCTGAGACCTGAGGATGAGTCACAGACAGCCAGGCCACAGGGTATGGGAAGGAGAGGTTTGCAATAGATTAAAGGCTCAAGCAAAGCTCAAATGCCAGTACCCATGACTGGAGCGGACTCCACCCGCCATAGCCAGGCCCCTTCTTGGAAACTCCACCTGAACCCTAGGCCGGGCTGCTACTTGCAGGCTCTATGCAGCCTACCTTGTGCTGCCCCACATCCCTTTTCCTGGAGGACATCTAAAGTGGAAGTGAGGCTTCTGCAAGGCACTTGGCTCCTGCATTTGGCTCCAGCCCCTCCCTGGATACCCTTTTCTGGATGCTGCCTAATTGCAAGCTTTTGCTTAGGGTAATTCCTAAAACATTCCCCAAAACCAACAGCACCTTGGCATAGAACTGAGATCCAGGGGAATCCCTGGATTGAGGAAGGCCTGCCTCTGGACATTGGCTCTGCCATTTATGCAGCTTGGCGAGTTGCTGCATCTCCCTGGGGCTCAGTGTACACAAATATAAAAGGAAGCTCAGAATTACTATAAAAATTCCATTGAGACACTGCATGTGGAAACCACTCATAATTATCTGGAGATTTGAAATGTAGATGGTTATTATTGCTATGATGTAGTCATGAATAGAAAGAAGTCTTCATTTATTCACTAAGTACTTAGCAAGGGTCCATGTGCCAGGCTCTGAGCGTGGAGCGGGAATCTAAAATGAACCGAATGTGTGCAGAGTCTGCTGTCAAGGACTTCACAGTATGGGAAAGACACAGATTAGACAATTTGGACATATAGTCATGTGTTGTATAATGAAGCTTCAGTCAATACTGGACTGAGTATATGACAGTGGTCCCATGGAATAATAACAGAGTTAAAAAATTCATATTCTGTAAGCCTGGTGACATCATATCTGTCATGTTACAGTGCAGCGCATGTTTTTGTGGTGATGCAGATGTAACCCTACTGCCAGGTGTCTAAACATAGAGCACATAGAATTGCATACAATATATAAAACTTGATAATGATAAGTGACTATGCTACTGTTTTCAGTATTTACTATATGAGACTTATATTGTCATTTTAGCAGGTACTTATAAAAAAAGCTACAGTAAAACAGCATGCCATGTAACCTCCACAGTGGCTTCACTATCTCATGTTAACTGTGTCTCTTGATTGGAACAAAAGGCCACCCCAAGTGATTGACATATACCATATAGGTGTGTATAACTGTGAGGGTCACACAATACATTTCTCAGAATGTGGCCGGCCATTAAGAGACAGGTGCATATAGTATGATTCAAGCTTGAGTAGGGGAAGAATGGAGGATGAGAGTACCCAGGGGAGTCACATATCTTCACCTTGGAAAGTCAGGAAAGTTTTGCCAAAACAATATCCTAGTAGAGTGAGCCAGAGTGGGGTGGTCATGGAGATATAGTCTCAGCCCAGGCTAGGAGCTGGACCCAGGGGACACCATGGAGAGGAAGAGATGAGGCAGAGAAGGTAACCAGGACACAACTGTAACATCAGATCAAAGTTAACCGCATTCGATGCACTTCTGTTAAACAGATTGCAAGCAATGTGCTGCTTTAAAAAATAAAAAAGTAAAGCTGCAAGATTGTAACATAAATTTAGATCATATTACAGTTACCAGAGCCGGGTGCAGCCCAAAACAAGAATCCAGGGAAAATGTTGGGAAACAAAATGTTGGGAAATCATTCAATCAATGCATAAGACAGAAATGGTGAGCAAAATAGCTCTTTTTTAAAAAAGAAATTTTTAGCATCCAAAATATGAATCACGATTCCCTGGTAAGTTCTACCAAACATTTAAGGAAGAAATAATGCCAACTCTACACAAAATCTTTTAGAAAATAGGAGAGAACCTTCCCAACTCACTTTAAGAGGCCAGCATTAGCTTGATGCTAAAGCCAAACAAGAGCAGTTGTTACAAGAAAACCACACACCTATGTCCCTTATGAACATAGACACAAAATCATGCAAAAAAAATTAGCAAGTTGCATTTGAACGTGGGTACCCTATTTCTAGGTGCACACATCACAGCTGCCCCATGGTTGAAATCAAAGGTTTTGTTGTAATCAAAATATTTATTGTAGATGAATAGGTAATAAACAGTCTCAGTTGCAAGTGGTTTTCAAAACTGAAAGAAGGTAAAATATCTGCTCACGGTACAGAAAATTCAGGCTTACCTGGAACCAGACTCCTAAGCTAACTCTCTCCACCTCTCCATCTGCCCCCCATCCTCTCAGGCAGGTTCTCCCCATGTGGTGGCAAGATGTCTCTAGGTGTGTGTCCAAAGAGTTACAAGTCATCTGGAAAGAGAAAACCTGTTTTTAGGGGGAGTCTAGGGTGGGTTATATGTGGGTTCTGGCCAAATAACGCACCTCCAACTATCCCCTTCTACCAAATAGTTCATCTCCAATTATAGTCCTAAAATAGTTGGGCAAAGAACAGGGAGAAAGCAGAAATCTTCATTCCCACCCACCCCCATGTTTTACACTTTACAAAGACCATGTCTCAGCTGGACATCCTGCAAGGTAGGCAGCACAAGTGCCAGTGTCATGCTCACTTTATGGATAAGGAACATGGGGTCAGGGCGAAGGAGATCACACAGGTGGTAGGCCCAAAGCTTGTATTCAAAGCTAGCAGATTCCACATCCCAGGTGGTTTTAATTCTCAGAAAACCTCCACAGAGGAAGCCAGACCTCAATTTGAGTCCCCTAAAGGAGAAAACTAGGAACTGTGGTTTACTGGGCATCAGAGCCTGTGTTTTCTCAAGTTTGGTCTCATTCATTCTCCACGCCAACTCTGCAAGGTGGTGTCATAGACCTTAGGCTCTGGAGGAGCTGCACCCTGCTCAAGTTCACACAGCCAGAGAGTTCAGACCCTAAGCCACATTTTCCCATGACTTTCACTCTGCTTTTATGAGAAACCCCTTCCCAAGACCTACAGGGCCTCACTGCTGGGCTCTCACATCAGGCAGGGGCTAATTGGAAGCTGGAGCCCTAAGAACTTCCCACTGGGCCCCACCCTCCTCCTCTCCACCTGGATCCAGCGCCATCTGTTCCCTTTTGTGGGGATGCAGGGGAAGATGAAACTAAATTTAAATACTAATAATACTTAACATGTCTGGAAAGTGTTTTGCACACTAATTGCTGATTAATCCTCCCCAGGCCCCAGAGAGCTCCCTGTCTTTGTGTCCCCATTCTGCAGACAAGCTGGTAATTTTCAGAGCTGGACAAAAGGCTAGAAGGTGGACTTGGGCCTACATATTCATTCAGTTCCTCGTTGCTCCACCACTGACGAAGTCAGGAGCTGGGTCCAGTGGTGACTTGTCTGTCTACCAGTTGCTTGATCATGGGCAGCTCCTTAACTTCTCCAAGCCTGTTTCCTTTTCTGTAAAATGAGAAGAATATTCCATGAGGGTTTGGCTGGTCATTCATCAGTGTTTACTGAATGCCTATCATTGGTGGCCACTGGGCCTGGCATTGAAATGCCACACTAAACAAGGTCCTTGCTCCCATGTAGCTCACAGTCTAGTTGGAGAGCCAGATAGAAATAAGAAAATAGCCAGGCTTGGTGGTGCATACCTGTAACCCAGCACTCAGGAAGCTGAGGCAGGAAGATCACCACAAGTTCAAGGCCAGCCTGCTCTACATAGTGAACATAGTGAGTTCAAGGCCAGCTTGAAGTACATAGTAAGACCCTGTCAAAGAAAGAAAGAAAGAAAGAAAAGCAAAAAGCAACATAGTTCATGATCATAAGGTAGCTAGGAAAAAATTTTACAAATGTAGTTTTTAAACTGTGATATGCCACAATTCTTCCAGATGGTAGCATCCTATTTTACTTGCTACATTTATCTACAAATCAGAGATATGTTCACCCAAGAGATGGTTACAGAGGACAGAATCATGGGTCCAGGAATTTTGCTGGAATGGGCCTGAGCCTTAGTGAGTCCTAGGGAATACAGGCCATCAGCGGATTTTTACCCTTATGTTCCCTTGCCGAGGGCTGCTGTTTCTACTGCGTTCCACATTTTAACTCTTTTGTCAGTCACCTTCACACTTCCGCAGGGCAGTCCACCCACCCGACCTCAGAGTCGGGCTTTCCTTGTGGAGTTGCTGGCTGTGGCCATATGGTTTTCCAGCTCTGTTTTGAAGCCCTGAGATTCCACAACAGCCCCGCAAACCACCTCAGGAAGTCAAAGAGGATGCAGGCAGGGGGTTCCCAGCTACCACCACCTCAGCCAGTGCAGTCACACCTGCTTATCCATTTAGCTTCCATATAAAACTCATCTGAAACTAGGATCCAATTTCTTTAACAATTCTTGAAAAATAGCTGTCCTCATGGAATTAGGAGACCAAGATTTAAATCCTGGTTCTATGGCTAACAGTGAGTAACCCTGAGAAGGCTGGGTACATTGCTTGCAAAATGGAATTGCTGTCTGGCTAGCAAATACCAAGAGAAGCCCATGTGCTACAACATCAGTGCAATACTTAGCTTGATAAGGGTGCTTGATAAGCCTTTTTTTTTAATCTGTCTAGTTCCCTCTTATTTAACAAAGTGGAGTAGAGCTGGGTTGCAATACCCCACTTCACCACCAGGTGAGCCCCCGCCTGATAAAGCCATGACAACGCAAAGCGAATTCACGCCTCACTTTTCCAAGACAATAGCTTGTGCCCTATTAATTTGAAATTTAATTAAAAACTCTCTAAGAACTTAGTGCTTGGCCTTCCATGGAGGGTGAAAACTCAGCACAGTTCATCACAGGGCAAAGTCAAGAAAACCCACTCAAGCAATGTTTTCCCAATGCAAAGGCGTGCAGTTATTCTGAGTTACACAGCTGGTTTGAGAGGGTCTCGCCTCCTCTGCATTAGTCAGTGCCAGGGAAAAGGGTGGGTACAGCCAGGAAATAAGGAGTTTGTCTTGCAAGAAAGTCAAAGAAACACCTCTGCTTCTACACGTGGGGAAGCAAATGCGCTAGCACATGACTTATGAGACTTCTCTCTATAGCATCCCCAGCTCAGAGACCCTCCTCTGCACCTAGCACATGAGTGCCGTCTCCAAGCCACATAACTGTCTGATTCGTCGTCTCAGGAAACCACGGAAACCCAGGAAAGTGGGCACCTTGCTAGCCTCCTGCACAGCAGATGGTGAAGCTAGAATTCAAACTGAGAATTCTCTCAAAGACCATGCCAAGAATGTTTTAAGGTAGATTCAAGGAAAGTATCGACCTTCAAAGCTTCAATTCAAGAAGAAAGGACGTCAAGGAGGAAGCTGAGTCCACAGCAGCGTCTGCTGGGGGCTCCCGTCTCCACACGCATCCTCTGGCAGCTTCTCAGCCTACACCCCAGCCCATCCTACCCCCTCAGAGCCACACACACCCTCCCAAAGCTTGCAGGCTTATCAGGGTACAGACATTCCAACACGCGGTCAGAATTCATGGTGCCACAGCAACACACTCTGTGCAAACCCCCAGCGGGTGTTCATCAGGGCTCACATGTGTATCCATGTGGACACAAACACACAGCGAAACATAAAGACGCACCAAGGAGCAGTTACCTGCACAGGGAAGGCACTTGTACACAGAAGATCCCACACTGGGAAGCTGCTAATGGAGACCACCTGAGCAATCTGGCTGTTCCTGCTCTCCTTCTGCTGCTGTCATGAACCCCATTTCTGGTCCCTAAACCCCATTTCTGGTCCCCATCCTCCTCTACATTGCAGGATCCAGAAGATAGAGTCCCTTACCCTCGGAGACACATGAGCACCTCTAATGCAGAGTGTGTCACAGAGGTTCTCCTGTGACACACGGAAGGACCGTGATGTTCCTAGTGTGGAGACTGGGCAGGGGATCTCTTTTCCATGCCTCAAACCAGATTAACATGGTGGCTACAGCCACAGGTGGTGGGAAACCCCAACTCTCCTCCTGCCCAGCTGTAAGTGACATCAGGCAAGCCTTCTTTCTCTCTGAGCTCAGATTTCTCACCAGCAAAATAAGGGTATCATACTTGCTTACAAGGTTTTAGTGAGAAACGAAAGAGTGTAGCCCAGCTAGTAAGAGCTAAATGAATGCTGATTACCTTTCCCTTGATCTTATCCTTCCAGTGCTTGCTGCTTAATGCAGTAAACAGACCAATGGACACCATTTAGTCAATCATAAGCATTTCTCTCATAGTCCTTTCCTCCAGGACCTCAGAGAACTGCCGTGGGACATCAGCCGTGATTGTCCACCATGAAGTGCTGTGAACCAGGGGAGGAGGGACACAGCACTGTGGGAGACGGGCCCAGAGGAGGAGGCGACAGAGCAGCTGCCCAGAATAATAGAGGTTGGAGCTGCCTTGCAGAATGGGAAATCATTTCCTCCACCCACCCTATGTTGATACTTATTGAGCACCTACTATGTGCAAGACACCTTATGTACATGTTCCTGTTTAATGAAGCAGTGCTCCAATTATACAAAGAAACAAGTGTTATCTTTTCCTACGGAAGAGGAAACAGGAGGAGAATGACCTGCCTGCTGTCACAGAGATGAAGTCAAGCCTGACTCTAAACTCCATTGCTCTTTCCCTATGGTCCTGTTTCCGCTGCACCAACCAACACGTCTCGGTTGTGCCCTCTTCCCCAAGTTCACTGGAAAGGCACTCTGTGTCCTTCTAACTTGGACAGATCTTCAGAGCCCAGTGCCCTGTGGAGGGATGGCCCAGGGTCTACACTTTCTAGTCCTGGACAGGTTCACTGCGTGGTAGCCCAAGCACTAGGCCTGGGGAGTCTGCTAGCTCTACAGCCACGTCACAGAAGAGGAAACTGAAGAAGGTGACACAGAAACCCAAGAGGGGAGGGCCAGAGCCCACACTCTGCAGAAAACATCCCACCAGGAGTCCGTCCTAGCCTCCGTGGAGGCGGTGAATCTACAGGCCCTTGTCCCTAGCTCAGCCACGGGCACAGGAGTCATAGCTCCAAACAGCTAATCGCCCACAGGCTGAGCCAGGATTAAGGCAGGCTTCCCAGAGCAAGGCCGCCGCGTGGGATGAGTCAGCCAGCCAGCCAAACAGGGTCAGCCAGCCAGCAACAGGGAGGGTCAGTCACCAGGCAGGCAGCAGCAGCAGCCACCAGTGTCCATCAGCCAGCCTCTGAGTCAGACAGCTGGGGTCAGATGGTCAGACAACAAGCTGGCCTAGCTCATGCTCTCATCCGAGCTCCCCTCTCCACTTCTGCCTTCCCTTGAGCCTTGGGGGACACACCCAAACTTGGACGCAGCACCATGACTGCCTGGTGCTTCTCAGCTCCAGATAGTGCCTCTGAGCATCAGCCAGAAATCCCCATGCCACAGGCAGTGGCTGTCAAGGAACACACATTGTGTGACTCCTTATACACAGATTCGCAGTTCTGCACATCCATGCACGCGTGCACCCAGCAGCGCACACACCCATGCACACTGCGCAGTGCGGCACACATGCACATCATAGGTACACACACACATGCACATGTGTGTATTTACATATCTTGTAGTGTCACGTGCCTGTATATTCTAACAGTCACATAATTCACACATGCACACACACACACCTTCACCATAGCATACTCGTGGCCTCCTTTGCGTTCATATTTTTGTAAATGAAGGCATTCAGCTTTTCCCTTCCTGAGGGAACTGCCGAGCAAAGGAGCCCCATACACATCATCACTTAAAGGGCTGAGGAAGACAGGATATCAGGGCTCACCAGCACAGGGAGAGCGAGAAGCAGGCAGAGCCTGGCGTGCGGCCAGGCTTGCACTCCACGGAGCCAAGCTCCATGCCAAGCGTGATCCTTCAAAACAAAGCACTCGTCCCCTCACCCCGGTCCCTGCAAGCGCAGACACGGCGATGGGAGTGGAGGTCACCGCTGGCTTGGAGCCCTGCCTCTCAGCAGCGGGGCAAGCCCTCAGTGAGGAGGGACACCATGGAGTGACCCCATCCCTTGCCTCTGAGGCCTCGCTGTGCCCATCACCTCTTATTCTGCCTCCTCCTTTGGGGTTTTGCCCATGTGGAACAGACTTGAGGGCAGAAGACCTATGTGCCCACCCGGAAGTGACCGTCACCACCCTCCTGACCTCTGCTGCAGAACAAAGTTAATGATCGTTAAAAAGAAGGTTTATATGCAACACTGCTGAGGGAGAATGTTGCAGACTACTTCCTAAGTGGGAATTATCAATGGCCAGTCAGATGCCGAGAGACAGGCAAAGAGAAAAAACCAAAGGCCCTGCTGCCGTTTTGAATGTCAGTGGTGGGGGAGGGCTCCCTCACAGAAATGCAGACCCCCCAGAAAAGCAAGGGGCTTACTCAGCAGGAGGGTTTCAAGGACCACTTCTGGCTCAGAGATGAAGAGGACCACACACAGAGGAAGGCAGGTGGCGTC